GAGAGTGTCCCTCAGAAAGCACCTCTCCTCCCAGCCATCCTCTCCCACCACTGGCCCAGCAAATGTTCCATATCCATGGATTAGCTCTTCCTGTTGTAGAATTTCATCTGTGTGTTCAGTTTTGTTACCGTCTTCCCGTCAGCCTGTTGACTCAAGGTTCATCCATGTTGCTCGTAATAGTGGCTCATGCTCTTCTATGAGTGGGTGGAAGCCCCAGTTTTAAAACCTGTTATTTTGGGTTGTGATGTTGGCCATGGGGTGCTAAGTCCTTGACCCCTGGGAGTTGACCTTTGGGGTGCTTATGTGAAAGTTGAGTCCCTGCTGTTTCCTCCCTGGAGATTTTCATGTGGTTTTTGTTCCCCCTGGTCATCTCCTGCCCTGATTTTCTTCTCCCACAGCTGGTGCCTGGTGCACGTCCTTTCTCCTGGATTAAGCACCTGTTTGTGGGAGATTCTGAAACCTGCCCAGAGAGGACATAAGTGTACACACTGTGCCCCTCAGGAATATTTACATTTTAACATAGCCATAGCCAAAGGAACATTTCTCTAAATGTAGGACTTAGACACCAGATGAGCAAACTGACTATTTGGGATTTTTTGGTTGTTTGTTGCTTTTGGTTGAGGGCCTTTCTGGAGCCTGTGACAGCATCATGTACAGTTGACTGTGTCTTGCTGCAGCTCCTTAGAGATGGGGCTCTGATCAGCAGATCCTGACCGGCGATTTTCTCTTTCCAGAATAGAATTGTGGAGCAGACTTAGTGCAGATGACAGAGGCGTTGATCATTGATGTCCTGTAGTAGTCACACTCCAGCAGTGCCCTGGTGCTCAGCAGGTGTTACGGAGACAGCACCCTCCTGGCTTTAGGGTGAAACTGGTGTTTTTGTATTAGGAATTGCTGCTGAGCTACAGCGTCATTAGCAATTATTATTGGGAAGTCAGTACAGATTATTTTTGACCTGAACATTCCCATGGCGATGTTTAATAATAGTTGTGTGGAGAGTTTTCCCAAAGACTCTGGGATCCTTGAGCACAGTGTTCCTGTCCAGCTTGTCTAATGTCCTAGCACACGGCGGGTGTGAGAGGACTGTGGACCATGTGTCCCAAACACGTGGGCTGGAGCTCTGGGTCTGTGCCAGGTCGCAGCGTCCAGCAGCGAGTGATTTCTGGGGTGCGGCCCAGCTCACCCTGGTAGTGAAGCAAGTCCCCAAAGTGTGATTCAAGTTAAATGTAACAACAGATCAAAAAAGTCTTCCTATTTCAGTTTGTGCTGCCAGTTTATGCTGCCTACTGCCTACTGCCAGTTTATGCTGCATTTGAGTGATTTTGCTTTAATGACTGAGGAAGTAGAGTGTGGAAAGAAAATCAGACAATGATGATATAGTTGGCTTCACACAGGTTGGGCACAAATTTGGTACCTGAAATAGATATTTAAGTTTTCTATTGAGGTCCTGAAATAGATTCTAACGCTACTGTTCTGTTCAGGTTAATAATCTCAAAGTCCATAAACATGTCTGTAATGGTTGAGTAAATGAAGAATAATACATAAACCTAAAGTATTTCTGTTGCCTTAGAGTCAAGAGGCTCTTTCACTGGGTAATATGAAAAACAATGGGAGTTTACTTTGTTAAACAGCTGTTTTGTGGGAGTGGTTGGGTGGAATTGGGAAGTGGGTTGCACTTGTAATATGTACTCTTATTTTTGTGATGCATCAGTTTTTTTGTCTTAAGGAGTTAAAAATTCTTCTGCAGTTGTCTGGTAGAAACATTTTTTTTTGAGTATCAATGAGCTATTATAGTAATTTTGTAATTAAATTTTTTTGAAAGTTGTTTCTAATTAACAATGATTTATATTCCACACGATCTAAAACCAAATCTGATCATAATTTATAGTTTTTCTTTTATAGTTTGCATTGTTGGATTTTAGTATTTCTACTAGATATATGCATAGTTTTTTCAAGTAACAATCGTGCCACCAATGTTAGCCGTGCACCACTTTATTATAGAAACAATCCCCTCTTTTCCCTAAAGGAAATGGCCTGCACATACCTGTTTGAGATCAGAGATGGCTACAGCAGAAACAGAAGTGATTCCACATTGGCTGTTTACGAGCAGTAACTCTTTCAGTTAGAAAAATATTGCAATGGTTTGAATCACTTTTATGAAAAGTATGAGTGATGTCTGTAAACTAAGTTCACACTGGTCTTACGATGCCTCGGGAAGAACCTTAAGTGCTGTGTTTCCAGTGCTAGCAGCATGTGTAGGGACACGTGGGAAGCACCAGGAAGAGTGTGTGTGCGTCTCCCTGGAGGGTCAGAGCTGTGACTTTATACATGAGCGAGAGGACACGGGGCAAAGGGAAGATGGAATTTTTGTTTTATCTGCTGTAGCCCAGGGAGGGGCCACACAGACTCCCAGACCAGGGTCATTTCCTCCCTTTTCTTGATTGTAACTTGTCAGTTAATTATCTATAATTAGACTCAGGGGGACACTAACCCGATATCCCTTTGTAGAAGGTTCTGGAACCTGGCTGAGTTCTGCAGGCACTGCCAGAGCGCGCACGGAGCAGGCAGGTCTCTGGCAAGACTCAGAGTATTGCTGGCAGTAACTTTTCTTGTCTTTGCTTATGAGATGGAGGTGGTGAGTCAGTTCCCCAGCATACGACATCAGATGGCTTTTTGTGGGGTCATTCGTGCTGTTTTGAAGACTGCAGAACTGGTCCAGGCATCACCATGGGAACAGGAGAGAAATAGAGTCTGATTGAGGTGGGGGTCCTGTCCCCGTGGGCACACTCTGAGCAGCAGCTGCAAAGCCTGGTAGTTCCTGAGCTGAAGGTATGTTCCGTGAGGCCAGAGAGACATGTTCCTTGGCACTGGTTTTGGCCATATTAATGAAATTCCTTCTGTGAATGGTGGAAAGACAAGTGGAGTTATCAACCTGTACATAGAGATGGATCTTTACAGGTTTTATTAGTTAGCAGTTTTCTGAAAAGAGCCTGGCTTTAAGAGATCCCATGGAAGTGACTCTCCCCAAGTAAACTGTGACCCGTATCAGAGCAGCAGGGACTTTAACATTCATCTCTCTTCCCTGTGGTGATCCTCAATGTAGTTCACAATGAGATGGAGACAGTGACAGTATGGGTTCTGTATGCTGGCAGATGTCCATCTCAACGTTAATACAGTGGTTCCTTTTGAAACAGTATCCCAGGACTTACCATGTATAGATTAAAGTTATCACTTTCCCATGAGTCACACCAGTTTATACCATTTCCAGAATTTCTCTTTGGAACCCCTCTCAGGCTAGGAATATGAAAATATAAAATGTAGCCTTATTTGATTTCAATAAAACTAATAAGCTAATGTGAAATGAAAGCCATTGCTGCACTTGACATAAATATTTCTTTATTCTGGTAAATGAAATTCTTTGAAAAACCTTCTAAGAATAAAGGAAGAGAAAATTGAAAAAAAAAGTAAAGAAAGTTTGAAAATGAGAGTACTATTTGTATATTTTCACAGGCACTCTCTTCTCTACCACAGACATTTAAATATTATATATATATATATAATAATATACTAATATATACACACCGGCTCACACCTGCATACATACACGCACATGCATGTGAGGCCGTGGGGAGGTCTGCTCTATCTGTGCCTTGTAACCCAGGGTTATTCTCACCATTAGTCAGTTAGGAGGAACAGTGCTCACCACCACTCCTTCATCATGGTTTTTCCATATTCTTTTTTGATCTCTGGGCTGGTTAATCTTATTAATTAAGTGGTTCTTTCTGGCATGAGCCATGAGTGCTGACTCCATGATTTCTTCCTGGGTAGGATGCCTGTCTTCTTCTCTCACTCCAAGGAAAACTTGGCTGCTCTTAAGTTTCTGGGTCACACACTTTCCCTCCTTGGAGTTCTGGGTACTCTATTCTGTTGTCTTCATAGCAGCAATCCTCATATACCCTGGATTTTCCATTACCTTTTTGGCCCTAGAATTTATTACAAAGTTTCCCCTCTCTCCAGTGAAGGTGCATGGGTTATTGTCTCTTGAGTTATCCATGTCTGAAGCCACCATAGCCTCCTCTGTGCTTGAAGGGTAGGTAGTGACATGCTTGGGTCACTTTTACTGTTGGAACTTCTGGAGTAAACATTGCTCCAAAGATACATCAGAGCAGGTTAATTCCACCCCCACTTCATGCCTACATGAGTAATAATTTTTCAAAAGAAGACAGAATAATGGCCAACAAACATACGAAAAAATGCTCAACATCTCTAATCATCAGGGAAATGCAAATCAAAACCACATTGAGATATCATTTATCTCCAGTGAGAATGGCCTTTATTAACAAGTCCCAAAACAACAAATGTTGGCGTGGATGTGGAGAGATAGAACACTCCTACATTGCTGGTGGGATTGCAAACTAGTTCAACCTCTGTGGAAAACAATATGGAGATACCTTAAAGCAATACAAGTGGATCTACCATTTGAACCAGCAATCGCTTTACTGGACATCTACCCAAAAGAACAAAAGTCACTCTATGAAAAAGACACCTGCACTCGAATGTTTATAGCAGCACAATTTACAATTGCAAAGATGTGGAAACAGCCGAAGTGCCCATCAACACATGAGTGGATTAATAAAATGTGGTATATGTATACGATGGAGTACTAGTCAGCTGTAAGAAACAACGGTGATACAGCACCCCTTGTATTTTCCTGGATAGAGCTGGAACCCATACTACTAAGTGAAGTATCCCAAGAATGGAAAAATAAGCACCACATGTACTCACCGGCAAATTGGCATTAACTGATCAACACCTAAGTGGACATATAGGAATAACATTTATCGGGTGTCAGGTAGGTGGGGTGGGGAGGGGATGGGTATATACCTACATAATGAGAGCGATGTGCACCAACTGGGGGATGGACACGCCTGAAGCTCTGACTTGAGGGGGGAGATGGGGCAAGGATAATATACGTAATCTTAACATTTCTACCACCATAATATGCTGAACAAAATAAATATAAAAAAATAATTTTCAAAAGAGCTTTGAAGCTTGATTATATAATTGGGATATTTCTTGATGTCTGTTATTCTATACAAAGTGCAGAACACAGTACTTCCTTCCAAATTATGGTTTTAATCCTTCATGGAAGAGATGCTTTCCCCTATCATATCTTTGGAGTCATTTTATCTCCAGTTTAGTTTTGTTTTTATCTTGGTATCATTCATTGCATTTTCTTTTCCAGCCACACCCGTTATCCTTCTTTCGGAGTCTCTTTTTCCATCCTATTACCTTTCCGCTAACTTCTGATCTTATATTTCCCTTGTTGAATTCAATGTGATTGTTTGGGATCTTCTACCTCAAGAATTTTCTTTTAACTTGCGTCTGTTTTGATAGTTACTGGTCCTGATTAGCTCCTTGGTTTTGTGCTGTTTTAACATTCAGTTTAGTTTCTTTCCTCTGCAATTTCCCTTTTGGTGTATTTTATTTTATTATCTCATCTTTGGTTTCTTGCTGTGTGGAATGGATGTGCTTGTTGGGGATTTTCTCTAGAGCAAGGCAGACGTGGAGGTGGCTGTTCTTTCTTGCCAGAGTCTAGATGTGTTTCCTGCCTTCAGCGTTCATTTGTTTACCAATGCGTTTTTCCTTATCCTGTTGCCCGTAATTAACCTCTCGTCAGTGCTGTGGCCAGTCTTGTCGCTCTGATGTGGGATGGATTCTTCTAAGTTTTCTGTATGGCTCGGTGCGGTGGTGGTGGTGGTGGTGGGGTGTGGGCGCGGGTTAGCGTCCAGGGTTCTGAGCAGCCCTTTTCTGGGTGAAGAGCTTCCCTTCCGCTCTTCTGCGGTTTGTGAGGATAGGAAGATAGATGGGTGGTGGGAGGCGAGGGTGAGAGAGCAGCTGTACTCTTTGGGGTCCCAGTTTCTCCATTCAGTGTAGTCAGAAAGTACTAAATCCTAGTGATTTCTGCAGTCCCTGCTGTGGGACAGGTACAGACCCCTCTCTCTAGAGATCTTCGTCAGCGTGGGCCAAGTGTTACCTCGTAATCTGCATCATTTAGAATCAGGAGACAGGAATGGGATTGTCGGGATCCCGTTGACACTTTCCTCTTGCTTCTGGGTGATATCGTGGCAGAGCTAAAGGCACCTTGCAATTTCTCTGTCCTCTCTGATGTCAGAGTCTACTCATGGGCTATGCCTAGGCTTCAGGGAGGTTGATTTCTTCAGGGAGGTTGATTTTACTGTTTCTCCCCCACTTACTGGATTGCTCCACTGTGTCATCTGGAAGCCTGCTGAACACTTTGTGAAGCACATAATATTATGTTACTGCCATGTATTTGCTTATTTCTAATATTTATCCTTTTTGAGGCCAATCATTTGACAAAAATTTTATAGTCTCTCAAACTTTTCATCCAGAAAAATGTTTTTATGACACAATACCATTACTGATCAAAGCAAATGCTTTTGCTTATCAAGTACTCTAATAATTAAAATATTATGTAGATGTAATGAAATCTCATTACATCTAATGTAAGTTGTGGAAACATGACAGGAAAAACCTGAATTGTGCTTAGATGTAAAACAGGGGCAATATTTTAGAGGTAATTGAAGCATCACTACACTTGACCCTTGAACAACACAGACTTGAACTTTTAGGATCCATTTATATGGATTTTTTCAACCAAACTCAGACTGAAAACATCGTATTCACGGGATATAATAAAACTGCGTGTGCAGAGGGTGGACTTTTCTTATCTTTGGGTCCTGCATGGTCGACTTTGGGACTTCAGTGTGCTTGGAGCGTGGTAGCCATGGATGCTGGACCTAACCCCCATGCATACCCAGGCATGGCTGTGTTTTGTTGCAGCTCTGTTATTCAAAATAATATCGAGGCTCTGAAGGTTACCGAGGTTCCTGAATTTGATAACAAGCAATTTATCTTTCTCTGTATTGCTCTCAAGCAAATGCATGTTTAAATTTGCCCTTAAGACTTTTGCCACTATTTCAAGGCAAGACCAAGAAACCAGAAAGAAATCTTATAGTTCCGAACTTTGCAGATACTGATTTGAAGGGCTGGGAAAATCATACTGTAGACGCTTGGTTTGGAAAGAGATCAGTGTAAAAACTTGTTTGAGCTTAAAATAAATGGTAACATAAACCAGGCAAATTAACTCTTCTCTGAAAGGTTTTAATTTTCCTGTGCGGTACCAAGTAAGGACATTTACCATGCTCTGGGGACCACGCTAAGTGTTTATGAAGAGTCTCTGCATTTCTACCCTCCCGTTTGCATCAGCCACTGTCTCAGCCCGCCCTTCCGGCTGCAGAGCCTTAGGAGCTGGGAGTCGGATCACTGGCCATGCTCTCAGGGCTAATAGAGCAGGGTTGGGACCCACTCCTGGCTGCTTTTGTCTGTCACACCACATTGGCTCAAAGACAGGGCCACGCAGGTGCAATTTTCCATAGAATGTTTTCAGTACTCCATTGTGATTCTATGCCCTTATCTATAATTAAAGGGAAAGAAATCTTATTGAGACAATCACATTTAACTTGTTTAACTAGATGCTTGCTGAGAAAATTATCTATGAGAAATGAACCATTTGCTATTAATAAAGAGCCAAGCTTTAAAAGACGACCAGATTTTAATAGGGGCAATTTTCAGTAAAATACTACTCAGCAATTATTTAAGGAGTGACTGCTGTGTATGTGGCACTCGGACAAGCCCAGCCACGCCAGCTCATGAGCTTGTTAGTTGCCCCTCTCAGAGGCAGGAGGTGTCCAGGGCTGTGGTCAGTGGAGCCATCCAGGCTGGATGAGGAGCTGGCACCCGTGGACCAGCTGTGATGTGGGACGCAAAGCCTGGCCTCATGGTTAGTGGCCATGTCCCCTGGTTCCTGAGCCACTTGCCGCTTCTGAAAGGAAAAGACAGCAGAAAGCTGAGAAGTCGTGAACACTTTGAGGGCTATGTGGCCAGTGAAGGAAACTGCCTGGAGGGTGGCAATAACCAGACAGCACATCCTGCCACAGGTGCCACAGGTCACAGGCCCCCAGAATGAAGACTCTGAAACATCTATAGGTGGGTGAGTACCTCTTTGGCCAAATAGTTTTCCAACAAATCTGTCTGTTTTGGTTATTACTGCATAATGAACCACCTCAAAACTTAGGGGCTGAAACAATACTAAATGCCATTTCTCATTGCAGGTGACCAAGGGTTACCTGGGCTCAGCCGGGTGGCTCTTCTGCTCTGTGGTGTCACTGGAAATTTGGCCAGGTGGGGCATTCGGGGGCTCACTCATGGAGAGCGGCTGGGGCTGGCTGTGCTGGAGCACGTCCAGGACTGTTGCCTGGGTGCCTCGATTCTCTCCATGGGACTAACCCAGGATGCAGTGCCCCACATGACCACTGGGTTGTGAGTGGGAACCACTGAGCTAATGGTTACATGATGTTCTGTCGAGAGATGATGCCACAAATTGTGTAAGCCTTCCTCACTTGTGCTTTTGTTACTATGTTTTATTGAAATTATGTTTTCATTTTGTTGTGTCCCCCCCCAAGATTATAAATTCTTCCAGTGCCAGGAACATATTTATTTCAATTTTATTGTTACAATTTTGTTTTTTTCCCATGATGGTGCCTGGCACAAAGTAAGTGCTTGATATGAGTTAGAACAGAACTGACATTTAGATTGTTTCCAATTTTTTGATGTTTACAATATTAAAAAATTAATTTTCTAAAGCTGTTTCAATACAAAGTAAAACTTCCTTGGGAATGGAAACACTGGCTCAAAGTATGTGTATGTCCTTACACGAAGCTATCCCAGGGACCATGCAAATTTATGTTCACTGGCAACACAAGAGATACTTTCATAGCACCTTAACCAGCATTTGGCTGTTTTAATTTTGTCTTTTATCTCATATATTTGATAAGCTAAAGTGACATTTTATTATTTCCATAATTTTCATGTTGAGATATTTGCAGCATGCAGTAGGTGAACTCCAGCTTGTGGAATGCATGGACAGTTGGGGTGTTGTACTCAGTGTGGAACTGACTTCACTTGGGGCTGGGAGAGGCTCAGCAGCATTCTGGAATCACCTTTTGCCTCCAGCTCTTGAGTTTTTGACTATCTGATGGCACTGACGGAGGGGGTTGAGCATACTGGCAGCTCACAGCTGAGCCTCTGGGTCACTGTGACTTAGCACTAATTCTGACCTCCATTTTCCTGAAGATGATCATGTCCCAATAAGTGCAGAATCTTTCTCTGGTGACAACTTGACATTTTAACAGCAAATTGTCCCCCAGTGTCTGTTGGGCTCTGCCCTCCTTCCTGAGACTCACTTAGGCAGTGACGTCGCTGAATTGTCATCATGTCAAAATGCTGTCATGATGTTTTTATATCCTCAACTGTAGCAAAATGTAAATAAAATCCAGGGGTCAGAGTTCCCAGGCACGGGGAATAGAGCGGAGTGGCCATTGAGGGGCAGTGCCAGGGGAACTTGATGGTCCCGGGTCCCACACAGAGCTGTCACACACATGGCACCCATGGCTGAATGAGATGCCCTTGGGGGAAGTGGGGTGAGGACCTTTCTCTACTGCCTTCCTGTCTTCCTATGGATCTGTAATAATTCCCAAAGAAAAAAATTGAGGATGACTTCCTTGGCATGTCCATGAAGAGTCCATGTCTTGTTGGTTGAGGTCTGCTAGCATCACGGACAGGTTGGAACCTTCTTGCTGCTTTCCCAGCAGAAGGTGTTTGAACTCATGAGGGGGTCGCTGTTGAGCTTTATCTTGTGGGAATGACTCTGCCTTCCTGCAGCTTACACTCAGAAAGTTATATCTTCAAAGAATCTCATAGAAAATGCAACCACCTCCTTAGCAAGGCTGCCCTTTGAACAGTTAAAGCCTGCACTGTTTCCTGTAGGCAAAGCATCCCCAAGTTTTAGCCATGTCTTATGCAATGGATATTAGACCCGCAGTCTGGAGATGCTTCATGTCATCCTCTTGTTAAGGTTTCCTCTGAAATTCAGTGACCCAAATATTTTCTATGAATGTGCTATAGATGTCCTATGACCAGCGTGGTCAGAACTTAGATAATGGAGAGAGGCAGAAATCAAAGACAAGAAAATAGGAAAAAAAAAAAAAAGAAAAATAAAAGATAAGCTGCTAGGCTGTGCTTCTAGAGAGAACAGTGCTTCTATGGTACCTGTTCTCTACAGGCATCATGTCTGTGAATCCCAGGACATAGTCAGGTGCACACACCCATGTTTCTGGCCACTGCTATAGGTCCTGGAGGTCATTTGCAGAAGAACGGGCAGGCAGCTCTCCCATGTGCACCTGCCTCCTGCTCTGTGAGAGCCGAGGCAGGATGGAGAGAAGGAGAGAGACTGGCGTTTTCCTGTTGCCCTTTTGTGTTCACAGGTTGTGACCCAGTGAACTCGACACCCTGGTCTTAGACAGCGTCAGCTGACTTGTTCATGTCCCAGGAGGGACACATTTCTGTGATTAAATCCTGTGCCCGAGGGAGTAAGGCCCCTGGTCTACCTGAAGCCGCACTGTGCGTGTGGCTGCAGTGTGCCTGGCTTGTTCCCCATAGAGGTGGAGATGCTGGTGGTCTTCCCCGTGGGAGTGTGGGGTGGGCTGTCCCCGAGCCAACTCCACTGTTTGGATTTCGGCGTAGAAATCTCTCCTTGAAGTTACAGACACTTCCATGTAGGAAAGTGGCTGATTTGATCAGGGGGGGAAATGTATTTTATGCCCTAATTAAAATCCTCCATGATTTTAGGGACAAGGGCATTCTTGTCTCTGTATAAAGTCTTCCTTGTGGGGGTCCCAGGGAGCTCTTGGTTGTACAGAGTCTTCCTCTTGTGGGTCCAAGTGTGTTCTTCATTGCATGATGTCCCTAGGTTCTTACCTCCTGCTGTGGCCTTGGTCCCTGGACCAGCCTCATGGTTCTGTTTCCTCATCAACTCTTGCCCTTCCCCCTTCAGTAGAGTGGATTGACATTATGTTAATTAAGGCTCACTCAAAACATGCATTGAGAACATTTTATTAGAAAATTATGAAATTAGAAAATTTCATAAACTTCTTGTGAGAGAACTGTTTAGCCAACAACTCTGGCTCTTTCTATAATGGTTTATTTGACCTAAGGAACAAACAATAGATTTTTTTTTTTTTGCAGGAGCTTATAGACATTGAGAATTAGATTGTCATTCAGGATTAATATTCTGAAAGAGATGTTTAATGATACTTCTGACATTTTTTTTGAGTGTGAATGATGAAGTGGAATTTCTACATTCATGTAAGGGAATTAGCTTTACATGTTGGATTTTTTTTTTCAGCTCAAATAGCATATAGTGGGAGTAGATGGAGTGAGATAATTATATCTTGTGTCAGTGGAAAGTAGAGTCCACGACCTAGACTCAGTGCAAATGTTGGTTATTATTCTTCTAGGAACTTGCATTATAAAGAACTGGAAACTTAACCCCTTCATTTCAACTTGCCCAGTGTGCAAAACCAGCCACATTTCTCTTATCACAAAGAATCTAGACCTTGCCTGCACAACCCTGGTGCTTTGCAAAGGCGAGAGGTAGTAATTTTGCAGATTATTATCTAAACTAGAGAAATAATATCAAAGGCTCATTTATCTTTTCCAAATACCTTTAAAGGAGACAATGTTTGAAATAGGTTTTCTAACAAGCCAGTAAGGTACTGTGGTTCTGCAGACTTGATTACATACAGAGGAAAGGAATAGCATCATTTGTCTTTCAGAGAAAGTTTCCAGGTATCGCCTTATGTTAACAGGAGTTTTCCTTCACTGTGGTTCCCATTATGGTTAGTGTCACTGTGCTAAGGACTTGGTCATACTCAACAAATTGTTATTTGAAAAATATATTTTAATTGGTTAGTCAGAGCTATTTAAATACATTTGCATACACATCCGTGTGCATGTAAGCACACACAGAGGCTGAAGGGTCAGTGGTAGAGCTATTTTGCTGGTAATCTACAGCACCTGTCGAACTAATGCTGTCGGACGGAGTGTGTGAGATGTAAAGCAAATCCGTGTGAGTGTGTGGCTTTGTGCACAGGCAGCCGCCTCACTGGGGTCATGTGAGGGACCTCAGAAACATTTCGTCACAATTTCCAGCCATAATGGTTAACTTTCTTCAGAAATTAATTCCTGAGGTTCTTGAAGATATTTTGTTTTTGAGTCCCCAGTTAAACTTAAAAGAAACACCTCATAAATCTAAAATATGATGTGTTATGGGGTTACTTTCTTCAGGACCCAGCTGCAGGTGGCACACTCAGCGAGCCCGGAAAGCGACCAGGGTGTGAGGTGCAGAGCAGCGGGGGCACGGAGACCCTCTCACCAGGGCTTCCTGTGTTTGTCAGGGAGGTTTTCTGGCTCCGTCCTCGTCCTCGGCGGTGTGTCTGGGCAGATGCACAAACACATTCTAAATTCCACACCGGCTGCTGGAGTGGCTCCAGTTGAGCAGCACGGCTCTGACGGAGGAAGTGACCTTTCGGCTGCTTTGTAGGCTGTGCACACGGTGCTGGGTCATCAGCCATGCACTGCACGCCACCGAGGGCGAGAGCTCTGTCCCCCGGGGACGTCTTCACATTCAGCCAGGTCCACAGCCAGCCCTGTGTCAGAATGCGTTGTTTTCTCCCTGAAGTTTATTGCTCTTTAATTTCTGCACTCACTCCTGCTAACCTTGGCCCCTTCCTGCTCACCTTCCATCCCGACCAGCTTAAATCCCTTCCCCCATCTCCTTGTGGGCCTCTGTTTCAGGAATTAAAATATAAGACAAAAACACCCTCTGGGAATCCCGTTTTAAGAAAAGGATACTGTGCTATCTTTGTGATAAAAGATGCCAATAGCAAATGCTCTCTGGCTGGTGCCTGGGACAGATCTGCGTGGTTCTGGGTGTGACCATCTCTGTGGGGGCTTCTGTCCTCGGGAAGTGAACACCTTCAGGCAGCTGCCTGATGTCCACCCTCCTCAGCCTCCATTTCTCTCAGTGGGCATGCCATGGTCTTCAGTAAGACCACCGTCCACCAGGGCTCATGTATGCTTGGCGACCCACCGACCCAGTTCCTGTTTAACCACTTCAGCATGGGAGGTCCCATTCGGCACTGGTTCAGTTTGCAGATGTAGAAGCCCCAGTTCTGGGCAACCAGGCATTTCCCTCCCTGCAGCTCTAAATGCTGGAGTCTGGGTGACGCATCCTCTGGCGCCCAATGCCTGCGCTCTTTCCCACTCTTTCCGGTACATGCTGATGTCTCTCCCAGCCCCAGGTTTGATCGTGTTACAGAAAGGCCTGTGCTACTGGTTCTTCCTGAGCTCGCATAGTCAGGAGCTATCTGCATGTACCTTGAGCTGTTGCACAAAATCATTGCCCTGAAAACGTTAAAAAGCATTTCTGAACCACCTACTGTGTGCTGCCCCCTACAGGATACAATGGAGTCTCTGGGCATCTTGTAGGTTGAAGAACCACCTACTGTGTGCTGCCCCCTAAGGATATAGTAGGGCCTCTGGGCGTCTGCAGGTTGATGAGGAGAATCCATGTGAACAGATTAAAGAACAAGAGAAGATAGTAGTAGTAGGGACGCATGTGCTGGTGTGTGTTGAGAGCATACATCTCTGCAGTTCTCCCAGAATCTCAGGGAGATAGTTCAAACTGTGATGTTGTACCATGGTCTCTGAGGAAATCTGGAACTCATCCATGTAGAGGAGGAGCAGGGCTTTCCACGGAGGGCCGTGTTGGGGACTCCTGCAGGGTATGCAAGTCATGGTGGTGGAGGTGCTAACAGTGATCTGGCGCACCACACACCACTCAGGGAATGTGGGTATCGCCGTGTGGCAGGCAGCCCAAGCGTGTCCTTGCCCAGAGAGTGGACATAAGGTGCCCTGCTGTCACTTCATACATGACCAGGCACTCATGGTGACTGGGCTGGTGTGTCCCGTGGGGTGTTTGTGCCCCGGGGCACCTGGAGACATTCCCAGAGTCTCTGGGAGCAGCCCCAGCCTGGCCCAAGTCTACAAGGGCCCTGTGTGCATGTGCCCATCCACATGCAAGCTCCTCTCCTCCCTCCTCCCCACACCCCCAGGGTTAGCCCGTCCCAGGCCAGTGAGTCTCTGCATCTCCCTGCCCGGTTTTGAAACAAAGCTCTGTGGGATGCAGCCACACCACAGCTCCTGTTGTCTGCAGTTGTCTCCTTGACCAGGAAGAGGGATATGATGTGCTACCCCCCAAACCTAAAATATTTAGGATCTGTCCCTTTATGCAAAGTGTCCCCTGACCCTGCCCTGCCAGCCCCTACATCCTTGCTGTGCCGCTCCTGTCAGTAGGATGCGTTGTCTCAGACCTCCTCACACGCAAGGCGGCTTCTTCCAACCCAACAGAAGCTGGTGTGCAGCCTTCCTGTAGGGGGAGAATCAAGAGTGATTAACTTGACTTGGGGTTTCACTTGTGATTCTGTTTTTTGTCAGGTGAGGAAGTCCTTCTCTTTGAATATCCTGTTAGCTCTCCAGCCCTGCTGTGGTCAGCCAGTGGTCCAGTGGTCACGGAGGCCCCGTCCTCCCTGCTCTGCATGTGCTGGGCCACTCACACACGCTCCTCTTAGCAGAAAAGACGGTTAATTTGTCCTCATGATCAAGTTGAGGTCTCCCAAGTGAAGTGATCCTTGTTATTTAAATACTTTTTACATTTAACTGACTGTTTCATTCTGGGTCGTTTTCCTTATCCACTGGAAATATTTAGTTAATTCAAAAGAGACACAGTTCAACTGACTGTCCCTTTAACTAAAAAGTCATTGTGTTTGAGGTTTTATCTTATCTGCTGAAAAATTATTTGGTGCCTTATTCTGTATGATTTACGTTCTAAACCCTCAAATCTGACGCATCCATGACAAGCTGGTGCCACTGACGTGGCTGCTGCTTAAGAGTGACTAGAGGAGCCGTCCTGGACTCCCAGAGCTCGGACGGATGTGGGGATGGAGAGTGAGACAGGTCACCTGGGTCACTTGTGTACCTGTCCGACACTCGACAGCCCTGGAAGGAAGTGGCTGAGAAGGTCAGTTCCATTAAAAATGTTCTCTGACCTGTGCGGAGGCTCATCTCAGCATGTGGGCCATGCCGTCACTGTAATTACACTTGTGTTTGTCACGTGAGCATGTTCTCTCATAGCAAGCGTTCACAGTGCTTCCTGCTTGGGAAACGTCCAGCTCACACAGTGGCTTTCACACGTGCACACAGGTGGCTGCACACAGCCCTGACACAGCTCCCAGTTCCGAGCTCAGAGACCGCCCTCCACCGTGGTTTTTAATCTTGAGGTGATGGCACTAGCTGAGAAGCGTCAGGACTGGAGGATCCGTGTCACACTCACCACCCGCCATAGCTGCACAAAGTAAGACTTCACCCAGAATCTTCTGTTAAAGAGAATTCTGTTCTCTGTCTCTGGAGTCTAACGTTGTCCCCTCTCTGGTAGGGATTGAGAGGAGCGCCGTGCCCTCGCCTGCAGCTGGAAACCATTCTGGGGTCTCAAGGTGAGTTTTTTATGCCAGAATTTAGTCTCCCCACCTGTGGGATTCTGTGAGTATTTTATAGACTTGCTTTGTGTGATCACGTTTGTAGAGTCTAGTGGAACGTATGTTTCTATCAGACCTTCATTCTTTCACCCTGATGGGTGCCGCTTCTGTGGTTCCGCCTGGTGAGGACAGATGCCAGGTGGGTGGCTCATCCTTTGGCTCAGGGGACGTGGGCTGAGGGGGCCTCTGGCTGGGCACTGCTGCTGGTTTCTGGCCACAGACAAAGTCGGGAAGAAAGCAGCGTGTTGCCCTGCTATTGAAAGTTAAGTTGCTGGAGATTAATTGTTCAACAAACGTAGTATATATATATATTATATAATTTTTAAAAAAATTAGTGGCTATAAAATAATTTTTATAAAGCAAATGAATCATTTTAAAGTAAAAGATAAATTATACAATTATTCAAGTTTTTGAATAATGCTGTCACTTTTGACTGTCCTGCAAGTAGACATTACTTACTTGTTCTTGAAATACAAGGAAGCTATCCTGCTTAAAAGAGTTTTGAGCTCCACAGGGCCCAGTTTTGATGGGAAATGGTGAGGTATATTAGAGAGTGAGTACAAATTGTTAACTCAGAAGAATATGTGTGTTCCTGGCACCGTGTCTCACAGGCTGTCATGAGACCCCTCATTGGCTTAAAGAAACATTCGTCCGTTCAATAGTGTTGGTTGATTTCTTATCTGATTGCTCCATTTGCTATTTACTCTGAATAGTGAGAAGTTAGACATGGGAGCCTGACGTTTTCAGAAACCCTTCACACACATCATCTCACTTGGCTTCACACTGAGTGGAAGAAGGGGCTGAGGAGTCAAACGCAGTGACCTAGTAACTTACCTACTGGATCAGGGCATGCTGAGAGGGGAAAAGGGATGGTGTTAATGATGTTCTTGGGACAGTTAACTGGGATTGTGCTGACCTACTGGGACCTAGGGTCACCCTGATCTTGGCATCATTAACATTAATGGAACCAAAAACCCTGCTCACACCATCTTAGCAAGCAGGAGGGAGTGGCCCTCAAGTGTTGGGGCACAGAGGGCAGGAATAGCATTCCTCCTCCGGGCTGCGGGGCTTCGGAGTAAAGGGTGCAGGTCTGTCTCTGGGTGGGGTCTGTCTCCAGACCTGACTCAGCAAGGGTCCACCCTGCCACATCCGCATGGCTACTTAGCAAGGCTTTGAGAGCAGGCAGAGTGGCTAACTGGTATCCTGCAATGATCATGTGCACATTTCACAGGTAGAGAAGCTAAGAAGAAGGGGTGCAGAGTGACATTCCGAAGGTCACCTTACGAGTGTCACATCTCGAAGGGAACCAAAGTATGGGCTCAGCCCGCAGTCTCATTCCTGTGGTATTTACTGTGTGTAAGATAATTGACACCACCTTCAGTGTGTCCCGGATTACATGGTTCTAGTGAGGCTGGTGCATCTAAGGTGTCTTAAGAAGACATGGCTACCCTGGACATTAGAAGCATGAGAAGGATCGAGTGCATAGATTTGCCGATCTTTCCAGGACATGAAGATATAAGCTGCCAGCCATAGATACAATATGTTCTGGAAAATGCCCAGAGAAGAAGTGAAATATGGCCCATTTTGTTCCCTGGGGATGGAAATGCTCCATGAGGATACATAGAAGCCCTTAGGGTGGCCTGTGACGTTTTTCTTGTTTGACTTTCAGAAGGATATCCTGTTATTGGTGGGGGCGGATTAGCCACGCTGGACTCAGCTAACATCTCTGGGCAGTCCTTGGATTTCCAGGATTATGGATCAGCACTCTGTGGCAGCAGCAACCTCTGGGCCGTCCTGATCTCAGGCAGTCAGAGTCCTGGAGAAACTACCTATTGATATGATAAAAAGACTTAAGAGTCCAAAAATGATTCACTGGATTGATAAGAACTCAGTTAAAGACTCCACAAGACTTAAGTTCAAATAATTTTGCCGAGAGTTCGTTTCCCTGGGGAAGGTGTGGGAATATGCCTCCTCACCCTCACACCGGGTCTTGTGTGTCTGTGGGAGACTCAGCTGCTGTGGGGCTGGGATCCACACAGCTGCTGTGATGAGAGCAAGGCCGGCTGCCATCGTTTTCTCTTTGGGGTGAAGGTGGTGCGGGCTTTTGCTCTCCTCAGGTTTTCTTCTTGCCAGCACCGATCTCCACTCTCAGTTCCTGGGAACGTCTCTCTCTTTGGTGTTAGGGCTGATTTGCGGAAGAGTCTGTGGCCATCATGGTCCAGTTGGAGGTGTGGAAGCATCGTGGATAAAGCTACGGCCATGCAGAGGGGTGAGCTGTCCAAAGTCCCACTTAGAGTGAATTGTCACTGGCTGAGAGTGCAGAGAAGATGCCTCAGCAGACAAAGGCTGCCTGGGGCCTGCGCCCCTCCATCCACCCCCTCCATGAGAGTGAGCGTCTGATGTGGACATAGGCTCCCCTCCCCAGTCAAGGTGCAAGGTGTTTGAAGAGGGTGCCTGCTCCACTGAAACTGGTGAACTTTAGAAACTGGTGGATTTGAACAACTTGGATGAGAATCTTAGAGGCTGTTATTGTGAACATGCATTGAATGTATGGAGAGTGTTAAACATACACATCTCTACATGCAAGAAAATATTGCAGCCCTGCAGGCACCCCAGTCAGGTAAAACTGGCACCCCAGTCACGTGCTGATGCTGACATCATGGCCAGACATTGGACTTTTCTCCCAGGGCAGCGTTGTGACGCTGCCTTTCAAAGTTCCAAAGGACACGCCGTTGCTGATAGAAATGTTTTTTACCCAGGTGCCTCGGGCCAGGGGAAGGGAGACCTCTGGTCGGGCGGCTGTCAGAGCAACTGAGAGGGGGCACTTGAGAAGTTGGTGGGGCCCTCTGGGTGTGACATAGGCCAGTTTAGTTGTACACCTGTTCTCTCTGGAGCAATATGTAGAGGGAGCTTATTTTAGACCCAGAAAAGTGACTTATTGGAAATGGCTTAACCCAGACACTACAAGGAGAGTGGTTTTCGTGTGTGTGAACATGTGTGTGTGCTTCAGTGCAATGGCGGCAGGCTCAGCTTCTTCCTGCATGAGGACCTGGTGACCATCACTCACCCAGTCTGGCTTGTTCTGTGTCAGCAACGTCCCCAATATTAGCCCAGTTCTGCTGTCCTTATGTGCAGCCCATGGGGTCTGACCTGTCCTCCTCTGCAGAGAGGTGACATTCCCATTGCAATGTTTGTCTTTACTGCTGTTTTCAGAGTCATTAGTCTTTCCACCTGCAAGTGCTCAGACTCTGTAGTGTTTGTGAGGAGTTTGCTCTCCGATGCTCTGCAGAATTCTGCTGCCTGCTTTTGATTATAAATGGGTGGCTACAGCTATTGCCTTTCTGTCTTTGCACCTTCTGTGTCTCTGGGCCACCTGCTTTCCTAGGCATCTGCCGAGGTGCCACGTGGTGACCCTGGCAGATCTCAGCCCTCATCGTGCGGGGTGAGAGCCTCTGGCTGGAGCTCTGAGTGAGTCCCCACGGAAGGTGCTTACACTGCTGCTGTGTGGGTGACAGCAGCTTTGAGGCACCACTCTTCCTCGTTCACATCCTCCACGATGTAGGCACCTTGTGGAACCCCTCGTGTCCATGGAGTAGCTTCTCATGCTTGCGTGGTGAGGCTGGAGGCAGAACTGAAGCTGAAAGAAAGGAACCTGCCGGCTGTGCCGTGGTGAAGGAGGGCCAGTGTGATGGGCTTGTTCTGCCTACTCCTGGGGAATCTGTAGGCACTGCAGGCAGGTACAGGTCACTGTGGGGGTCTTCAGAGCAAATGTGGTGCAGAAGGATGTGCCTGACCCAGGGTTACTCTGGGGGTAAGCCTGATGTGCCTCTGAGGGGGTTCGACTGGCCAGTAGCTCAAGTTCCTGATGCTGAGAAACAAGACTTGACTCTGTTTCCAGCCCAGGGCTATGGTGCCGTGGAATGCAGGCTGGAGTGACCAGATGGGTGTTCTGAATTAACCGTGTGTGCTCTGGTCGCTGCATCTTCGAGGTGTCACTTCTTTCCAAATGTATAGAAAGTCTCTCTCATGGGTGTGCGTGTGTGAATATACACATCTTTGTGTGTCCCTTATTGCAGTGTTTGGGTTTTCTGGAACCTTCTCGAATTGTAGCCTCAGCCACTTTCCAAGGGACAGACCTCACGCTAGTCTCCCACATCCTCACTTCAATGTCCAGACCCTGTGTCGTCCTGTGAAGTTGGGATGGTGCATGACTACCGGCATCTGCGTATTGTTTCCGATGCCCTTGTCCTGGGTACGTGTCAGTTTAGCAGATCTGCACCTCGCACTTGCCGTGCACTAGGCCTGGGGGTGACAGAGATTAGTAATACAGGGCTCTTTCCAAATAGCCCGTTTTCTAGTTTTAAAAGGGTTATCTAAAATAAGTAGTCATAATGTAGTATAAATAAATACTCTTAAGAGAGACAAGCACAACATTAAGTCTTTTTTGGTTTTAAGTGACTGGTGAGTTGGGAACAGGCAGGGAGGGTGGTTGTGTTGAATTCTGGCCCTGGAGGTGAATGCTGGTCAGATGGAGACTCTAGCTGTAAGTGTGGCCCCAGTCTCAGTCTGCTGGGAAGAGACAAACACACAGAGTGGGAAGCTGTGCGTTCTGCAGGTGGAATCGTGCAGTGCTTGCTGGGGCAGGAGAGCTGAAGGACGCCCAGCTGCCTTGTGGCAAGGAGGGTGGAGGAGCTTCCCCATCCAGAGGCGCCTCTGGGGACACCCTTGTGGAGGGCACAGGTCAGCTGAGGTGCACCGTGACACACAGGAGCCAGGGCGGAAAAGCAAGTCTGCCGGGCGTCCCTGGACGTGCTGCAGCTGGGGGTGGAGGTGGCAATCATGGCAGAAACTGAGAGTCTGGTGACATGGCGCAGGGACTCACACCAAGCCCGTGGCTGTCTCACCTGTGGAGATGTTCGGCATCTGCCAGTTCTCGGCACCACTCCTTCAGAAATTAT